TGAGGTTTATAAAAGCAAAGAAAGTAGTGTGGTTTATAAAAGCAGATGGAGTGTCTAGAATTTTTATTGCCTTTCGTCGATATATTAAATAGACATTTTGTAATTATGCTGGTCTTAATGACTTGTTATTTGTAAGCTTTAAGCTTTAGCTCCGTTTAAAAAGCATTTCAAAAAAATTTATAACAGCCCAGCATAATAATTTCTGTTCATAGTAGATCGGCAAGTGAAAGTTATGTGTTGTGCGCACCAGATTTTTTTTATACAGGAATACTGATTATTTATATATTTAAAGATTATTTTAATGAAAGTTGTTTGTAACTCTAAGTACCTCCCAAAAATTTTCATAAACTTAAGTCGGGCATTGGTTTATTTAACTTTCAAAATAGAGGCTAGATGCTGAGCCGAAAATCTTGGGGAGAATATATTTGCATACATAAATAATTATATAAACAAACTAAATATATATATTATAATAATTAATACAAAGCGGAGCCATATAACAAGAGACAGGTCTACAGAAGAGCTCGAGGCTGGGAGCTCCGACTTTAACAAGGCGGTCCGACGCAAGCTGGCCTTTCCGATCTTTTTATTTCCCACTTTATCTCCCCTTATTCCCCATCTCTTTTCTCTTATTTCCCTTTCTCTATTTTGTCTATTTCTCCTCCTGTCCCAACGAGCCGGCAGACACGCACCTGTAATTTGAATTTAACCTTCTTCAGCCTTGTACTTGTTCTTCCACGGTGCTCAAGCCTCGCCTTCTTGTACTATTAGTTCACGTACCTTTTTTTTTTCAAGTATATTCAAGAAAATTTCATAATTTTTAGAAAGTTATTAAGTGCATTTTCGTAACTTCAAATCACTGAGAATATTAATGAATTTTACATTTATGAAATTGGAAAATTGTGCGCTTGTTGCAACTATGTTTTATATATAAAAGGATTCAGATGGTTCGGAGTGACGGTCATAAATAGGCTAAATAGTGATAAAACTATTTTATTAAAAGCCAACGTTTCGACCCGACTGTACAGATCTTCTTCAGGGAGATGTATTCAGTTAGGAGTTTCACTTAGAACTCACTCTCGAGTGAGTTTTTAATATAAATTAAAAATTGCGAAGTCTATAACACTACACTGCTCACCACAGTCACCAACTGCTGCAAAGTCGGGTCGAAATGTTGGCTTTTAATAAAATAGTTTTACCACTATTTAGCCTATTTATGACCGCCACCTTGGACCATCTTCTTCCTTTATAATGAAACGGTCAACTAATAAATATTCAATAAAAGGATTTATTTCATTTTTAGTAAATATACTGTTTTTCTTTTTTTTTTTTTTTTTTTTGTTCATTTTTATTTGTTATTAAGATTTTCTACTAATAGTGGTTTTCCTTAACCTAGAGCTTGGATGACTTCTTCTAATGTTTTATCAAAGGTCCATTCTTCCCGTAGACCATGACCCATCGTGGATTCCTCTACTTCGTTATCCCAGGTCTTCCTTGGTCTTCCTCGTCTTCTTCTTTCCCTAGTTTTCCATAAGTGGACTTCTTTGGGAAGTCTTCCTTCCATACCACTTCAGGCGTTTTTTCTCAATCTCTTCCAGAATGGTTCTTTTAGCCTCCATATTTTCTCTGATGGTCGTATTTCTCACCTTATCTATTCTGGATATTCCCGCCGCTCGTCTCCAGTAGTCCATTTCTATGGCTAGGAGTTTCTTCCTGTGGTTGCTTTTTAAGGTCCAAGTTTCTGACCCATACGGCATAATGCTCAAGTATTATACTATTATAGATATAATATAAAAAGTAAATAAAAAAATAGTTTCTTTTGAAACTCTTAAATACGAATTTTAATAGAAATTAAAAATTGCGAAGTTTACTTACAAAATATTAACAAAAATAATAGTTTAAATGAAAAATAATGTCATATTTGATTAATTATTTGGATTCCTAAACTCACATAAATTGTAAAAGAAACCATCTATTAAAATACTGTAATGTTTTAGTTTAAATTATTTTTTTGACTTAATACTTTTTTGCTATCAGTAAGGGCTTGAAACAACTTAATACCTTCTTGAGATGGTCATTTCTCATGTAGGCATATATTATATATTGCATACAGCCATATAGAATACAATCCAAACAATATCCCCACCATACTAAGCCCTCAACTTGTGATTCTATAGTTTGACCCTCCCAATAATTTTCATAAGTGCCTATGCTACTCACTATTATATAATGAGAGTCGATCATCCAAAAAGATTAGAATTTTTAAAAAATCCTACGGGATGAGATCTTTTCCACCAAACATCAACTGCTTATCCGGTCTCTAGGAACAGGTGTTAGCGAAAACATGGGAACAGATCATATCAAATTATTAAATGGTCAATATATTGTAGACTTTTTTTTCATTTAGTATATTTATTGAGAAATATTACAATCAGTCACAATTAACGACATTTATAATATTTTTCAGAGAGCACATTTCAATCTATGTAAAATAAATTAAACAGAAAATAATTATTCTAAAAGTAAATGTATAAACAAAAAGAACTAAACTAATCAAAATAACAACTTAAACACGAGCATACTTTTGTACAATATTTACAGAATTCTTTCAATCAGGAGAATTCCGAGTCAAGCTTTTTTCTTCACTCGAGAAAGGAAAAGCAGGACTCTAGGAGGATCCCAGCGCCTCTAACTTAGCCGCATTACTGGTTTTAAGGACCAGTACGTTGTAGATTAAAATAAATTTTATATCTATAATGTACAGATTTTATCTCACACTGAAAAATCAAAAGTACTTATTTGCCAACCGAATATTTTGATAAGCAGTGACCTATTCGTATTATATAAAATAAAGCGTCAAATAATGACATACTTTCTCATTTCAAAGTCAAATGCTTTCATGAAAGTACGACCTAGTACATTTCACCAGATCCGGTTATAAATTAGTGTTCAGTCACGTGTTATCTTATCTCATAGATATTCATGAGGAGCAGTTACATGTAACGACATGTTCGTTGTGACAAGGTGTAACCGGTTCCAGCGGACAGTTACTCACTGAGGGTCGGTAGCTATAAAGTCCAGTTGTCATTTACTGTCCGTTATCCGACATAGCCTCTCTCCTAACAGTTCTTATTACCATCTCCAGTCTATCTAATGGAATGTCTTTTTTTATAATTCATCATTGAAAACAAAAACTAAAAAAAAAAAAACTCTGGTGCGCGCAATACACAACTTTCACTTACCGCTCTACTTTGATTAGAAATTATTTTCTGGCAATGGAAATGATTTTTAGCTATTACAAAATTTTTAAAGTGAATTTTTAACCGAGCTGAAACTTAAAACATTAAGCTAACAAATCATTAAAATAACAAAAATTCTATTTATTATATCACCGGGTGATTGTATATAGTATGACTATTGGTTATTAAACTGTTATTTTCCATTACAAAGTTCACTAAAATAGAATTACGAGATTTTCATTGCCTGTCATAGATACGGCAAATGCGTCACACTAATTGTAAGTGAATAGTCTAGCGATATCACAAAGGGAAAATTCATCAAACTATTCATTGATTTATTTTTTTTTTAAGTTTACATGATGATTTTTTGGAATAAACGGACGATATATACTTAATTATTTAAATATAATATCATATCTAGAGTTATTAAACTACAGTAAATGTGTTTAAGGTTAAAAACATATCTATGAAATATTTTTATATTTCATTTCTTCTTTCACACAAGTACAATGAAATAGTACTTTAAACAATATCATTGCCTTGATTAGGTGGATTTCAAATATTTTTTTTTTTCTTGTTTCTTGTTTTGTTTTTCTTGGCTGATATATATACTTCATTATTTCTTAAAGAATTTGTCTTTGGTACATTTTATGTTTTTTTAATAATATAGATAACACTATGATCGATGTCTTATTTTGAATATGTCTGGTAATATTCCGTGTTTAAAAACAGGTTATTGAAAAGTAATTTATACAAATATTTTAGTCTATTATGTTAAATGATGATATCGATTTGATTGATTGATTTGCTGGTGATATCGATTGTGATTGATTTGTTGGTGATATCGATATAGAAGGTAATATGTTTGAACAGCTAGAGAAGTTTAAGTATTTTGGGTCTACGATAACTAGAAAAAATGAAATTAAAGAGGAGATTAAGGTTAGACTGAAGGCGGGAAATGATTGTTATTTTTCTGTGACAAAACTACATACCTCGCGCATCTTGTCCCGGAATTTAAAGACTAGAATCTATAAAATTATTATCATATTTACTGTTCTTTATGGATGCGAAACGTGGCTGCTTACATTAAGCGATGAGCAACGTCTTCAGGTTTTCAAAAATAAAATATTGCGTAGAATATTCGGACCGAAGAAAGACGAGTCAACCGGAGAGTTCAGAAGATTGCACAACGCCGAGTTGTGTGAAGTGTACCCAGTTAATATAATTGAGGTGATTACATTCCGACGAATCAAATGAGTTTGTAAAATTGTTGGGCTTAGTAACGAAAGAATTTCTAAAAGGCTGATATTTGCTGTACCGAATGGTAAACGTCCGAGAGGTAAGCCGAAGCGAAGGTGGGAAGATAGCGTTAAAACCGATCTGAAGCGACTGGGTTTAGACGGCGGACGGTGGAGGGAGGTGTGTAATAAGCGATCGGTGGTGTCGGTATCGAACCTCAGGGTGTGCTAAGCCTTTTATTATTATTATTATTATTATGTTGAATGAAATATTGTATTCGACCAAGGAAAACACAAGCACATAAGGTTCCTTACATAGTACATAAGATCTATTTTGCTGTTCTTCACTAAACAATATATTCTGTGAATTATTCAAACGGGCCTAACTAGTTTATTTTTTAATATAATGTACAAAGATCCCGTTGTTCAAATCTATTAATTAAATTTATTTTTCCAAATATTATTTTTTTTCCTAATTATTATTATTTTCTAAATCATTATTATATTTAATTTTTTTTTTCAGAGGCACGATGGTACGTAAGGTTGGAAAGCACCACTACTTAGCTAGTCACAATGGAGGGTCTTTGGGCTACATACCCGGCCACCATTACAGGGGATACTCCACTGATGGTGAGAAAAAAATATCCACTATAAATATTTTAATAAAAATATATTCAGATTTTTATTTAGATTCAAAATTAGAGTAAATAATATGTTAGAAAACCAAAAACGAAGAAAAATCTGTGCATGCAACATATTAACTCTTGCAAAAGCTTTTATTTATTCACAATATTTCTCCAATTCTTCTTTGGTGCATACTATTTATTTTCAAGTTTATTTATTATCAGCCATTTTAAACCAATTTTCAAAATTTTATTTATTGTTTTTTTCATTATTCGGGATTTATTTTAATAAATATAATTTCCTAAATACACATTTTATTTATAAATGAAAAAAAAATAATAATGATTTTTTAAATATTTTTCATGCAAAGTATTTACGAAACTGTTTACCACCCAAATCTATGTCATAGGAATTGGTCCGTATTTATAAGTGACAAATTTAATGTTTCCGTTTTACGTTTAAAACAAAAAAACCCTGCTGATTGTTTCAATTATTTTCATAAAAACGTAAATCTTAGGACTAGAAACATGAAATTTGCTACTTATAAATACAGATCAACTCCTTTGACAGAGATCTGGGATAAAAATACAATTTCGTAAACACTTTACATGAAAAGTATTTAACAAGTCATTATTATTATTTTATTTACACATGAAAAGTTTATTTAGGAAATTATTATTACTACAATATATCCCCAGATCAGGGAAAAACAAAAAATAAAAGGAAGGAGATGGTCCGGGGTTGCGGTCATAAATAGGCTAAATAGTGGCAAAACTATTTTATTGAAAGCCAACGTTTCGACCCGACTTTGCAGGTCTTCATCAGGGCTAGAACGGACAAGATACAAAAAGATAGAAAATTGTGACAATTACATAATATTTAGACATAATTTATAAACAATGTGAATAAGCTTATTAAAATTATAAACAGTAAGTACAATAAAATATGGACCAAGTAAGCTGAGTAACAAGATCCTAAACTGAAGTAAATAGATGCTAACAATTGTTGTAGTGTAATATATAATAAATGAAAATGTGAATATACTTGTACAAAATCTACGGGAGAGAAATAAAATTAGAGACTTACAGGTGTGTTCATCTAGGAAGATGAAGTAAGCTTAGAAACGAGAGGGTTGGGATGATTCTGAAGTTTATTATGAAAGGATAGGTATCTGGATTGGGCCAGATCTGAAACATAAGGAACATTAAGATCTTTATGGATAATTTTATTAGTGACAAAGTAAGGAGCATTGAGGATTTTACGAAGGATTTTGGATTGTAAGGATTGGATGCAAGAGGAATTCGATGGTTTAGTGGAGCCCCATAGCTCAACTCCGTAAGTCCAAATAGGTCTTATTATAGTCAAGTATATTAGTCTTTTGTAATTAATTGGAAGTTTAGAGCGTTTGTCTAGTAAGTGCTGAAGTAATCGGAAACGTCGAGCGGTTTCTTGTCGTTTCAGTCTAGTATGAGGATTCCAAGTTAGTCGCTTGTCCAGCTGGAGTCCTAGGTATCTAATTTGCTCAACAAGGATAAGTGGAGTATTGTTAAAGGAAACTGTAGGGCAGGCAGTCGTTGATTTACGACGAAATAAATTATTTTATTTATTTATTACAAAGGTAATAAATAAATAAAATAAAATAAAATAAAAAAATAAAATAAAAAACACTAAACTTCGATTTCCTACTTTTCTGCTGAGAATTGGCACATTGCTTATACGAACTATAAAAATTTCCCTCTACTTACGGGACACGAAGCTTTTTCTGTTTAGAATTTATTAATTTGTTATTTTATGTAATTTAACACGTTTTGTATTAATATAATTTAGTTAAGCATAATTTTTTTTCTTCCTTGTATTTTTACTAATCCACTGTTCAATATAACTTTTTATAATAAAATTTTTAATGATAATAAACTTTTTATAATAATTTATAAATGCAATTATATCAAAAAAGGGTTGGGAATTACAAACTGTACGGCAGATAAATTCTTTCGATTTGCGGGCCAAGGCTGTAGTGAGCTAAGCGCTATCGATTATACGGTCGATTTTGTTGTTAAGAATCGATTACACAGTCTATCCTGCGGTGTCATTTAACTTGTTATACCTAAATATTTGTAGTTCGGAACTGTTTGGTTAAATCTTGCTTGTTCTTAAATTTTTGTATGCTAATTAATTACCTTGAATTTGTTTTATTTCTTCGCTAAAACTTTCCCAACATGTATAAAAAAAAACAAATACGAATGTATAAAGTTATTTTAACTTTATTTCTATATGAACATTACGAATAATCACTTTTTCCTTATTATCACGTAGTTATTTTTTTAATTCATTGTAAGGTTATCTTAAGGTTTGAATTTTTTTTTATGATTTTCTTTAAGCTTTTTTTCATTTCTTACTTTTTTTCTTCTTATTATTAATTTTCAAATAATGAATTATAGAATTCACAAAGTAAAGTTCTCAAATTTAGTATTAATAATATTATAATTATCTGCAGTTTTTTTATTATTAAATTTAAATATTATTTCAGCCATTGAAGAATGGTGTCATAACTGCAGAATCAAAATTAATAGAAACAAATTACTTTTATCCTTCTTCGTAAACCTACTACATCCTGTCCTAAAGTATCCTTTGACAATATTCCACTGATCCCTGTCTAACAGATCCGTTACCTAGGACTCCTTTTTGACAAACTTCTTACATGGAATCCTCATATTAAATTGAAAAGACAAGAAACTGGTATTAGATCCCGATTACTACAACATTTACTCGACAAACGCTCTAAACTTCCAAATATTATACAAAGAACTCATATACATCTCCACCATCAGGCCCATTTGGGCATGGGTCTTCACAAAGCCATCGAATTCTTCTCGTATCCAATCCTTACAGTCCAAAATCCCCCGTAAAATCCTAAATTGTCTTTTTTATTTCACAAATAAAATTATCCACAAAGACCTCAACATTCCCTTTGTTGAAGATTTGGCCCGAACACTCCTCTTTTAATTCCAAACTCTTTAGTCACCTTAATCTTCTAGTTCATAACCTTTCATCCAAAGCGATTCCTGAAAACCTTCCGAAGCGTCTGAAATGGCTAAGAGACCTCCTAAATTAATTAATCTTTGAAGTATTACCAATGGGTAGTTTCTTTACAAGTTTATTTTTATTTATTATGTTTTAGCAGATTTACGTATTGTATATGTATACAGTTGTAAATATCAATAAATGAATATAAAAATAAAAAAAGTCTTAATTATTCATTTCAAACTCTGCTTTAAAGAAGCATTGCCTACTGATGGTCAACAGCCATCTGTAACTCAACAAAAGTTAACCAAAGGTTTATTTGCCCTTAACTCCAGAGTGTGTTGAATAGTTAAATTTTGTTTTATTATTAAAAAATCGCAATACATTAAAACCATTTTTTTTATATGAATTATAAACTTCAGACCCGCACAAACGTACTAATTCCTAACCAAACATTCCGATATATTATTTATAAGAATCACGAAGAAATCCAAATATATACTGAAGGAAAAAGAAGGTTCGATTAGCACAGCTAAGGAAGGTTGAACAGCTGATTAGAAAAAATACAAGGAAGAAAAAAAAATTATGCATAACTAAATTATAATAATACAAAACGTGTTAAATAAAATAAAATAAATATAATAAACTACTGAGTAAATAAAAAATAAGAAACTATCAAGCATAACCTTTTCATATACTGTAAATAGAGAGACTTATAAAATATTTAACCTTATTCGAAATTTCAAAAACAACTTTTCGTGACGTTGATATTTTCAGTTCTGTCATGTGATTTAAATAACACAAAATAGTTTTTTTTATTTTTCATGTTGTTTGTAACCTTTCAGGAGTAACCTGAGTTTCAGTTTGTAACCTTCCGCTGGAATCCATCTGGACGTTCCTAAACTCATCACATAGTCCATCGTTGCTCGATTCAATCAATTGATAAAATCAATCGATTGAAACAGTTTAGAGTTTAGGCACTAATCTCCGATATATCTACAACTAAAACTTGTAAGTTTCTTCCCTTGGCTTGACAATCAGTGGAGTCAGTCACTTTGGTCGACACGTGATCGTCGAACGCGTAGCGACCTTCTTTTTGTTTTTAAGGCTATTAGAACCTCCAGGCTTCGAGACTTTTCCTTACGTGGTTTATCTTACATTTCTTCACATCTTCTTAATTACTCCAGGATATTTCTTCAGTGTTTCATCTCGTTAGGAGTCTTTCTTCTTCTGGCTTCTCTGCGGCTAGGTTTCGTCAATTAAGTTAATTGTTAGAGGATGTGAAATTCTTCCTAGTTTTTTTTTTAATGTAAAATATAAAGAAAGAAAATATTTAAATAAATATCTAAAACACATTAGGATATCGTGATGAAAGCATTATTTAATTATGATTATTAGATCACATATATGCAAATGGATTTTGGGAGATGTGATGTTTCTTTGAAAGTGTTTATTTTTTGGTGATTATTTTTCCCTTGTGAAATCAAAGAATTGTGCATTTGTTGTAACTATATTTGATATATTATATAAAAGTATTTGTTTCATTTTAGTACACTTATTTTCACAAAAAAACGTTCATAAAAGTTAATAATGTAATATGAAATTATGTTCGTATGATATCAACCTTTGTTTTCTAATTATTTCCTGCAAGTCTTCAATCCTATTCCTTCCTTCGTTCGATCATCGTCTGTAGTCTGATGTGCTTTCGGGACTATAAATCCTTGTAAAAATCTTCCTATCTACCCTAAGTAGGTTTTCCACTGCAGTAGTTCCCATGCCTTACATGATGACTAGTCTTAAAACTGTACTATTATACTATGATTTTGCATTTGTAGATTTTTAGGTTTTTTTTACTTTCCTACGTATACTAGGTAAGGATAGTATTGCAATCGGGTCAAATTTCCGATAAGCGGTTTTCGACGGATTTATACGTTCCAAAGACCCCTGATTTCGAAAAAAACTCATTTTTAGCCATTGGTCTGTCTGCCTGTGCCAAGATTTTCTCGGAAACTAGAGAACCAATTTTCTTGTTCTTTTTTTATTTTTTAGGGTTTTGACTACTAATGCCAGTGACACAAATTAATCAAAATTGTATATTAACGCGACGCCGTGTTAGAGAGGGGAAAGGGAAAAAATAGTGTCGAAAATCAAATGATAACGAGTTTTATTGAGAAAATAAGGAGATATCTCAGAAACTAAAAATCAGATTTCCATACTATAAGCGATGGAAATCTGTAGCATTTCATCCTCTTTATAATGAGCTATAATTTATATTTCATATTATTAATCTTGCCTTGATATTTTAACTTCGATCGTGTGGTCTAAAGCATACACCTTAGTAGTTTTTTTTTTTTAATGGCCCACAAACACTAGTTGAGGAAACTCAGTTTTTATAGCCCACCTCCGTACTCCATACACTGTTCCCAACTTGTAAAGCCCCCATGTCCTACTATGTTCTATTGTCCTGCCATGTTACGATGTCCTGTTATCTTCCTTATATTAGCTTCCTCGTCGTCCTAGCGTGTTCATGCGTGGTAAAGAAATTCTCTTCTCACATATCGCTATTTTCTTTCTATTTCTTTATCTGATTTTTTTCTTAATCTGTCTTCTCTCAGGAAAGTCGTATCCTTGTATACAGATCATGTTACAATGACGTCGTAGCTATCATGTATTTTGTTTTATATTCATTTACTTATATTTTAATTTACTCTCATTTTCTTAACAGGCTTAGAGAGCTTCTCTATGATCTTTTCTTTATTTCCAACGGCAGCTATATCATTTGTATATCTAAGGATTTTCTGATTCATTCAGTGCTTTCTTCCATTTTCTCGATCTCACCATCGGTGAGAGTCTGTATAAACGCTGTTTTGGGGTTTATTATTTTCAATAATGCATCATTGTAATCAACCAAGAAATTCAAAAACTACCCCCCCCCCTCTAAAAATTTAAGGTTTTAGGATACAAGATATGTAGAACTAGAAAATCGAATAAAAAAAGTCCTTCGTCCGTGCATTTTCTCCGAGACTACAGAATCGATTTTTTTCAAATTTAGAATCAAAGTAAGAGGTTCCCCGAATGATTCTCCTAACTCGATATTATTATCCACCGTTTCCTTTCAAGATGGCAGTTGAAAAACCTATGTTCGAATGTACCGATTTCAATGAAACTTGGCTCTCAAAGTTTTCTTCTCGATGCCCTTCAAATAAATATATCAACGAAAAGAAGCCGGAAAAAAAGTTACGAGGGTTTGTAAAATTAGATTTCCGAATTACTCAGAAGTCATACACTTTTTATACATAAACCTGTACCACTACAAGGGTCTGGGGTTCAGTATTATTTAGGGAAAGCACTGTTTCTAGTGTCAACGGTTGTGCAAGGAGGGGTGATTTGACCGAGATCACGCTCAAGCGTCAGGTTTTCCCGCTTAATTAATTATTTAATTAAGGGTACCTACTTTATAGAGAGACTGGGTGTGCTCCAGGAGGGATTCCTGACCCAAGGTCGCTCCACGGCCAATGAAACAGATAAATTTTCTGCCATGAGCCGGGGTTCGAACTCGGGACCTTTGCATTGGAAGCTCAGTGCCCTACCACTGAGCTACCCCGCTCCCTTATTTTTTTCCCCCTACTCGCTCCCTCACTTTTTATACATAAGAATAGAAAAATATTTTTTTTGGGGATGTTGTTATGGTCATTTAAAAGCTTATGATATTTCCTAAAATTAAAAAAAAAAACATTGAAATCGTACAATTTGGTGCAAAGACATGTTTTTAAAAATATTTTTCATATGTTCTACTGCAAAGCTTATTTCCTTTGTTTTGGTTTTTAATATCCTTGTGTTGGTATTTAAGTGTTACATCAACTGAATCAATGTATTTTATGTTTCTTATGAAATTGCTAATAATTAAATAAAAAATTATTTAGAGCAATATTAGAAATCAACTTTTATTTATTTTTCTTATGTTACATGAAAGGTAATGTTACTTTTGATAATTGTTTCTAAATAATAAAATATTGGGTAATAATTTACAGCGGTTCTTTTTTTTTTTTTTTTTTTTTTATTATTATAGAAATATGGCGTTGGATACTGAAAGTTTCTCTAATTTTAAGGAACAAAATAAAATAATTTAAGAAAGAGATGGTCGTTCCCCGTTCCCAAGTTTTTTTTTAAATTTTTATTATTAATGAGAAATATAACATTCTATCACATTATGGACATTGGCTATAGAGAGGTAAAATAGTACATTCTCGCCATATTTACAGAAAATATAAACAATCAAAATAAAACAGAAGGATATTAACAAATAAATAAGATTAAAAAAATATATAAAATAAATAAAAATAAAATCAATTTAAAGATAAATATTTTATTTATATAGGAATATAATAATCTATCACGTGGACAATAATTATAGTGAGATAGGAACACATTCACACCATATATACTAAAAATAAGTAAAGTAAAATAGCCGAGACACACCAATATACACTGTTTACTGTCAGGGAAGAGAACTCTGAACTCCAGTTTCTCCCTCCGCCTACGGAGAGAAAAGCAGGACTTCAGGAGATCCCTGCACTACACTCCCAATCGCGTCACTGGTGCTAAAGCAAGTGGAGGTTGAGTGAGAACGCTTTAACCACATACAAAGTTATAGTGAAATTTGGAGATGTTTTTTGGGACAAGATCTACGTCAAATGAGGTATTAAGGTCATGATAAAAGCCTTAAAAAAATAATAATTAAAAGTATAATAAAAAAATGTAAATTCATAAAACGCCATTTATTACTAAACGCCCTGGTTATTACTACAATATATAATATATATTATACTGTATAATTAAAAATAAATTGTATATATTGCAGGGGAGGAGAGCCAGAGGTCTATGACAGAGCGAAGGGAACGCCGGCGACGCAGTCGAAGCGCCGCGGCATCCCTGACGGGGCTTTCTGACAACGAGGCGGGCTCCGACATCTACATCACCAGCCCGGCCTACAGGGCGCCTTCAGAATACAGGTGAGTTCGTGTACCGCGATATCCTCTGTGAGGACAAGTCCGATGGTAGTAGGTAGTTCTCAAAGTATCGCCTGTGAACTACAGAACCAAATATTCCAGGAACCGGTTCCAAATTTTACTGCTCATTTGAGACAAATTTTAGTCATACACGGTTTTAATAAAAATAATTGAAGTTCAACCCAAAATTAAACTGCACACCAACCAGATGCTAAAAAAGGCTGTATGCAAAATTAACAATAAACGGTTTATAAAAAACAACATGTTTTAAAAGAGGGAAAGGTCACCATTTTGGAAATTTAATGAAGCAAATAACATATTGACTGTTACCCTAGGAAAATAAAATCAACCCTATATATTATTTCTAAAAGGTGTTTTTTTGTCGGTACGCCATAACTTCGTCAATTCTTCATCAAATCCAATGATTGACCACTCATTTTGAAGATATTCTTCTCCTTCACATGAGAAAAATAGTCCCATCCCACCGAAACCTTTGGAAAAAAATTTATAGAGGAAAAGAAACTTTATTCGCGAATAACTCAAAAAGTATGCATTTTTTCTGGATTGTACCCATGCATGATAATTAGAAAGATTACTAAATTACCTACAACATAAAAAATCGTATAATTCGATTAGAAATATGTATAATTTAAACAATTTATATTTAAGGAAGGAGTAAAGTGTGTTGAAATATTTTTTTAAGGAGAAGGAGAGTTGAGATTTGTATTTCGCAGCTCGAAACACCCTCGAATACGAATTTTCATTGCGATCGAAAAATAAATAAAGTTATGAAGGAAAATAAACTTTATTCGCGAATAACTCAAAAAGTATGCATTTCTTTCTGGATTTTACCCATAATAATTAAAAATATTACTAAATTACCTACAAAACAAAAAAAAAATCGGACAATTATTAACAAAGATATAGTCCATTAGTTCTGGTTTCTTAATAATGTCTTCCTGTTTTATTATATTGTCTGTTCTGTTATATTGCATTTAGGAGTAGAATAGTCAGCTACATTATTTTTCCTGGCTGATATATTAACTTTATTATTCCTTAAAGACTTTTGGTAGTTCTTACATTTTAATTTTTTTAAATAATTTAGAATATCCCATGACAGGGGCATTATTTAGTCTTTATTACTTTTATTATCTTTCCAGTCAGCGTTTAAAAACAGGTTCTAGCAAAGCAATTTGTACAAATATTTGTGTTTTTTCTATTATGTTGGTCTATAATGTTTAATGGAATATTGTAATCGACTAAGGAAAAGATATTAATTCCTTCCTTACATAATACATAGGAACTACCTATTTCCATATTGTGTTACTATTTCTTCACCAAACAAAATTTTCTGTGAATTTTTCGCACGGGCCAACTAATGTTAGTATAATATTAAATCAAAAATATCGATAACGCCCATATTGAATAATATTGATAATTAAATAACGTTTTGGATATACTTAGCAAGTAGGAATGGAATATCGAAAGCACAATATCGGCCTTTAATTATCGAACTTGGAATATATCGATAGTCGATATTATAAACATTTTTGAAATATGCATAAAAAAATAAATAAATTAATGCTGATATTAATTCTTCTACCCTACTCAGTAAAATTAATTTTCTAGTTCCTGTCCATCTTCGTCATTCTCAGTTTTTTTTCTCAGAAATTTCCATTCAACCAATTATCCTTTCCCAGAGGTGACCATCCTCGCCAAGGTCGACGACGCAAGAACCTACCTCCTCCCTCTCCCAAGATATTTTATTGCTCACCTTTTTATAAAAACAGAATAAAAGAAAATAGAATTTAAAAAATCGTATATGATACACAATTACACTTGTTCCGGTCTCTTCCATGTTTTCTCCTTGTCCCTTAGTATGAAACTTTTCATTCCGAAAATGCATATAATTTCAAAATATGCCCCCTTAAATATTTCATGGCGCAATGCGCGCAATTCAACTCTACTTAGGAATGGTCATTGGTAGTCGATATTATCGTAATATCGATATTTTCCTCTATTACGTTGAAATCTATTATTTTCTAACGATCAAATTCACACATAATTTCTAGCGTTTTCCAAAAACTACAGTTCTAATTTTAATTTTAAAATTAAATATCTGAGGGGCGATATCGATAGCCGATAATATCGAATTTTATACTATCGATGGTAAAATATCAAATATCTGAAGGAAATATCGATATTTCGATAATATCGACTATCGTTGGCCATCCCTATTAACAAGTAAATAGTCAGTTTTTTTTACAAAAAGTCATTAAGTGACTTTTCATAATCTTAAATAACTTGTGTGAAGGGATGATGAAGTATCTCTTTATGATATTAGAAAGTTAATTGAGTTTGTGGCATATTAGTGCGCTTACTCTTTTTGTATAAATAATTTTTTATTTATTTATTTAGACATATAATAATCTGTCTCGTGGACAATAATTATAGTGATATACACGGTGGGCCAGACCCCCTTACCGTGCACCCCCCCCCCACATCCCTATAAATTGCATATCGTTGTGTTCCTTGTAACAATTTATTAAAAAAAAGCCAATGTTCCCACAAAAAAAAGTGAACGCACTGCCCCAAAATGGCGTCCAAAGATGGCGGATTGACGACTTTGACTTTAGTTAGTTTTTTGGTCACTGAGAATCAGCATTAAGCTTAATTTCCTCATAGTTGGTCTTTTATTAAAGCTGAATAGTTATAGAATAATAAAACATGAAGAAATATTAAAAAATAATTGGCTAAGGCTATGAAAAACACCTGTAAAGTCAATTTTTTTAACAAAAAAATTTTCAAGTTACAAATCAAACGTCGTTTGTAATTAAACGGCCTACAATAACGCAAAACGTGCTGAAATAAACCATCTGGAGAATATATTTCTCTTTCTGAAACGCTAATTATTTTTTACAAATGTTTAAGTAGTTCCGTAAAAAATGCACTTATGCGGCAGAAAAGCGGTACTGGCGTGGGTGCCTACAGGCCTCTACCACACCATTCAGTGCCCATAAATGGCTTAGTTATAGTGATATAATAACATTTTTGGTACATTATATTGGTTTTATTAACGAACAAATATTAATGCAATAATTTAATAGTAAAAAAAAAATTTAAATTAAAAAAAAAATTTATTATTATTTTTTTAAATTTTAACCTCCTTTATTCTATACGTAGGTCGTTTAAGAATACCTCAATTGTAAAAATGGTATAATTATAATAATAAAACTTAATTAAAAAATATTTTGCTAAATATCTTGATTTTTTTTTATTTAACGTTTGCAATTTAACACTGTGTTTTGAATATTTACTGATTCTTAGAAGTAATTAAAATTTTTATATACTTCCCAGGAAATGAGTCATATTCATACCTTTTTTATAAACTAAAATAATATATACCTAATCTGAACTATATATAATGAATAGCTACCGGGTTGTTTAGTAAAACTCATATATCACTAATTAAAAAATTAATTTTTATTTCCTTTATTTTGTGCAGAAGTTGGACTATATCATAAATAAATAGGAAATTTTAATATTGAATGAATTATTCTCTATGCACAAAGAAAGATATAAAGGGTGACCCTATAAGTTCTTCTATAAACCAAAACTGATTGTTTGGATTTGATCTCAAAATGAGGAAAAACGTGAACTTAAACGAGAAAATTGGAAAAATACATTAAGCGAACGAGAAAGGAAGTGCCAAAACCTCGGAATAGATAAAAAGGACCAGTATATCCATTATATAGCTAAATGAATGTATAGTAGATAGATGAACAGAATATTTCAAGATGCTGCTAAAACGGGATCAATTGCAGTTTGGATGATATTAAGTGGACGATGTAGGTTTATTATGGTGAAAACCACTTTATTTTCGATTGCTGAAGGTGCACATCGGGACTATATTAACTTTGAAGATGAATATAGAGATGTACATCGAGAAAGTTATAGCTCATAGCTTTCCTTCTGTTTAGTGGATTTTCAAAAGATTTTTTAAGGTATCTTATATTAGTTGTAGCTCGTTATTCTTCTCGTTATTCTTGAATTGTTCGGAATTTGTACCATATCATAAAAAAATAGGAAATTTTAATATTGAATGTATTATTCTCTCTGCACAAAGAAAGATGGAAAGGGCGAAACCGAACTGCTTTGACAGTTTTGCGCGTACATATTAGAAAATAATATGAAAGGACTGTGGTTTTTACCTTTACAAGAAAGGAGGTACTAGGAAATGTAATACCCATCAAGACACATTCCTGTTTAGTGTACCAAACAAATTATACACAAGAATCGTAGAAGCTGGAATAAGAAATATTGTCGATTGCCAGAGTGATATGGATTGAGAAACTCAAGTTGCAGATTGGAAGAGAAGTTGAAAATTGGGACTGTCTTCACTTTAAGGCAGGTTATAGAGAAGTCCACATAAAAAGAAAAATAGCTCTCTATCTGCTCAGTGCCTCACACTTTGGATTATGCTAATATCTAACTGTCTTTCAGAAAAACTCGTTTTCCTTTTAGATTCCTTAAAAAATCTTTTGAAAATCCACTAAACAGAAGGAAAGCTATGAGCTATAACTTTCTCGATATACCTCTCTATATCCTGCTTCAAAGTTAATATAGTCCCGATGTGCACCTTCAGCAATCGAAAATAAAGTGGTTTTCACCATAATAAACCTGCATCGTCCACTTAATATCATCCAAACTGCAATTGATCCCGTTTTAGCAGCATCTTGAAATATTCTGTTCATCTATCTACTATACATTCATTTAGCTATATAATGGATACGGGTCCATTTTATCTATTCCGAGGTTTTGGCATTTCCTTTCTCGTTCGTTTAATGTATTTTTCCAATTTTCTCGTTTAAGTTCACGTTTTTCCTCATTTTGAGATCAAATCCAAACAATCAGTTTTGGTTTATAGAAGAACTTATAGGGTCACCCTTTATATATTTCTTTGTGCATAGAGAATAATTCATTCAATATTAAAATTTCCTATTTATTTATGATATAGTCCAACTTCTGCACAAAATAAAGGAAATAAAAATTAATTTTTTAATTAGTGATATATGAGTTTTACTAAACAACCCGGTAGCTATTCATTATATATAGTTCAGATTAGGTATATATTATTTTAGTTTATAAAAAAGGTATGAATATGACTCATTTCCTGGGAAGTATATAAAAATTTTAATTACTTCTAAGAATCAGTAAATATTCAAAACACAGTGTTAAATTGCAAACGTTAAATAAAAAAAAATCAAGATATTTAGCAAAATATTTTTTAATTAAGTTTTATTATTATAATTATACCATTTTTACAATTGAGGTATTCTTAAACGACCTACGTATAGAATAAAGGAGGTTAAAATTTAAAAAAATAATAATAAATTTTTTTTTTAAATTTAAATTTTTTTTTTACTATTAAATTATTGCATTAATATTTGTTCGTTAATAAAACCAATATAATGTACCAAAAATGTTATTATATCACTATAACTAAGCCATTTATGGGCACTGAATGGTGTGGTAGAGGCCTGTAGGCACCCACGCCAGTACCGCTTTTCTGCCGCATAAGTGCATTTTTTACGGAACTACTTAAACATTTGTAAAAAATAATTAGCGTTTCAGAAAGAGAAATATATTCTCCAGATGGTTTATTTCAGCACGTTTTGCGTTATTGTAGGCCGTTTAATTACAAACGACGTTTGATTTGTAACTTGAAAATTTTTTTGTTAAAAAAATTGACTTTACAGGTGGTTTTCATAGCCTTAGCCAATTATTTTTTAATATTTCTTCATGTTTTATTATTCTATAACTATTCAGCTTTAATAAAAGACCAACTATGAGGAAATTAAGCTTAATGCTGATTCTCAGTGACCAAAAAACTAACTAAAGTCAAAGTCGTCAATCCGCCATCTTTGGACGCCATTTTGGGGCAGTGCGTTCACTTTTTTTTGTGGGAACATTGGCTTTTTTTTAATAAATTGTTACAAGGAACACAACGATATGCAATTTATAGGGATGTGGGGAGGGTGCACGGTAAGGGGGTCTGGCCCACAGACTAATATATGAACACATTCACGCCATATATACAGACATTATAAAATTAACAAAAGTAAAATAAGAACTAAATAATAATCAAAAAAACCATGTACAATAAAAAATAAAATAACCTAAAGATAAGTAAATTAAAAACACAGTCATACCTATATGCAATATATACAGTATATAAGGCTAAAATTTCCAAAAACGTTCTTAAAAGATTAGTTCCATAAAAAATGTAGTATGTAATGACTTTTTGCTACAATCAAGCTCTTTACCTTGAAAGTATTGTGACTATTTATAGATTTCTATTTCCATATTTTATTTATGGATAATTCACTTCATATATATTCCAAGACGGATAAATATGACAATCTTAATACTTGTTTAGTGTGCGTGTTTTCAATTTACTTTCCCTGACGTTTTCTCCGTTTTGTGGTTTACTCATAAATCTTTTCACGTCTCTTATTTTTCGCGAATTACTTTTCACAATCTATACCTGATCGAAGATTTCTAAAAAAAATTCCGTAGAATTTTCGGGATACCAGCAAATACATTATTGTCGTATTTAAAAAATTCCCAAAAATTACGAAATGCGCGTGATTAAATGGGTTTTGAAATATTTTCAGTAGATTGAGACTAGAGAAAAATATGGAAGATCAATACTTCACTTTAATTTTTCAGAACTCTATGCAAATTATTATAAATACTAAGTTGTCTAACCTTGCAGTTGTGTGTATGACTATATAAGTTGCAATTGTAAATTAAATATTACTATAACATAAATATAAACTAGTTGGCCTGTGCGAAAAAATCGCAGAAAATTTTGTTTAGTGAAGAAATAGTAACACAATATGGAAATAAGTAGTTCTTATGTATTATGTATGGAAGGAATTAATATTTACTCCTTAGTCGATTACAATATTCCATTTAATATAATAGACCAAAATATTTATACGAATTGCTTTGCTAGGACCTATTTTTAAACCCTGACTGGAAAGATAATAAAAGTAATAAAGACAAAATAATGCCCCGATCATGGGATTTTTTAAATTATTAAAAAAAATAAAATGTAAGAACGACCAAATACCTTTAAGAAATAATAAAGTTAATATAAAAGTTAGGAAAAAAAAAATGTAGTTGACTATTATGCTCCTAAATGCAATATCTTAAAACAGGAAGACATTACCAAGTATACCAAAACTAATGGACTATATCTTTGTTAATAATTGTCTGATTTTTGTTTTGTTTTGTAGGTAATTTAGTAAGCTTTCTAATTATGCTGGGTACAATCAAGAAGAAAATGCATATTTTTTTAGTTATTCGCGAATAAAGTTTCTATTCCTTCATAACTTTATTTATTTTTCGATCGTAATGAAAATTAGTATTGGAGGGTGTTTTGAGCTGCGAAATACAAATCTCAACTCTCCTTCTCCTTAAAAAAATATTTCAACACACTTTACTCCTTTCCTAAATACAAATTGTTTAAATTATACATATTTCTAATCGATTTTTAAGATTTTTTATTTTGTAGGTAATTTAGTAATCTTTCTAATTATTATGGGTATAATCAAGAAAAAATATACATTGAGTTGTTCGCGAATAAAGTTTCTTTTCCTTCATAACTTTTTTTCCAGAAATTTCGGGAGGATAGGTCTATTTTTCGCATGTGAAGGAGAAGAAAATCTTCAAAATGAGTGGTCAATCATTGGATTTGATGAAGAATTGACGAAGTTATTGCGTACCGACAAAAAAACACCTTTTAGAAATAATATATAGGATACTCCGAGTAATTTTATAGCACGTTTTGATTGTTCTTCTTGATCCATGTTATAACGCAGTTTCATTGTTCGGTAGGAAATTTTTAATTCCTTCTTTAAAGCACACGTATTTTAATATTATTAATTATAGTATTTATTATTACTATTATGTATTTATATTATTGAAACTATCATCGAGAATTGGATCCGTTAGATCGATTCCTTGATCAGGGCGAATAACTGAGCACGTCCCGCCATGCACGGAGGTCGTGCGTTCTATTTTTTCCCAATGTACTTATTTTTTTCTTGGCGGAGAAATTAGAACGCGGTACAAAACCCATTTTTATCAAATTATTAATATACGCCTAAAACTTTATGAATGGCTTTATCAACGAAAATTCTCAGAAATGGGTCGTTTTCTCATTAAATTAATTAGGGTAAGGGCAACAGTGATGGACATAGATAAGGAAATTTTTGTATTTTTTGGCTTATGCCGCCATAATTATTATAGTTATAAACTTCTCCGTTGGACATTTAGAATCTCCTTTTTCTTTTTAACACTTTAAAATTGAGAAAAATATTTAGTTATGCAGCTATAACCTCAATTTAAAAAAAAACATCTTTTATGCACTAATGATGGACACACCGAAATTCAATTGTTCTAGTAATGACTAGGAGGTCGGTACCAGTAATAGACATACCTCAGAAAAATTCAAAAAAATTTTATTTAACTGTAACGATAAAGATAAGATACCATAAATGTTCAAATTACTCTTAGCAAAATTGTTATTAGGAAGGTATAAAACACACCGATCTCAACAGCACAATATAACAACAATGATAGGCATTTTAAAATTTTCTTTTGAGGACTTAATTCATACAGTTGTCAACAGTACTTGTTCTACAATCTATAAAAAAAACTGGACCTTTAAATCAACATGGAAGCTTATTATTTACATTTAAAGTCCAACCTATCCATCACTAAACCCTTGTCCATAAATGATGCATTCACTCTATTAAGTGGAGAATATTGTTCTCAACTGTTAGCAACATAACATCTTTATTTCCAAAATTCATTAGACATTTTGGCTTATAAAAAATAAATACATATGTATAGTGCAAGTAATGCATGCACAATTAAAGTGTTTTCAAAAATATGATATTAAAAAATATGTGCATTAATAAGGTATACATACATATTAGTGTGTATTAATTTAATTTGTGTGTAAAATGTGATTTTTATTTTATTAACAAAATTGTTTTGATCACAATTTAATCATTATTGTTTATGTATAGCCTTATCACTCAGTAGATTAATATTATTTTTAATCAAATAAATAAATAATAAAGATCGATTTAAATTTTTATTTATAAATCAGGCATGATATTTAAATTAAAAATCAAATATAATAATTATTACATGATTTTGTGGAAAAAATAATTATCAATTTCAAACCCTGATATGAATATACAACACCTACTCATTGTTATAAGTTTTGTAGTTAAAAGCAATACATATTATTATATGTATTATTATTATATAATTATTACATAATTATATTATTATCTATCTATTAATAACTTTCACAATTAATTAATTCATATATTAATGAATATAATATTTTCAGTCGGGGCTCGAGAGCATACTCCTACAGATCCAGACCTCCGTCAGGAATGAGTGGAGCAACAGTGAAATCCAAAATAGATAGAAAAAGAGGAGTTGTAGTAGAAACAATGTCTGCGCCTAACCCATTCTGCCCTAACACAAAGGTAATGAACTGAAAACTTGGACTTTTTCTTAAAATTTATGCAGTGAAAAAAAATAATATAGATTTAATTTTAAAAAGTTATTGGGGGTCTTAAAATTTAATTTATTAAATGCTAGAAGCATTAGTTATAAAAAGATATTTATGAATGAATAAAATATTGAATACTTTTTTAAATACAAAAAATTATATTGAAGAGAAGTTGGTGGGAAGAGGTTAGCGAAGAAAAAATAAAAAGTAAATATAAATAAATCATATTAATTTTTATTTTTTTGGTTGATCCGAACAACTTCTCTTCAATTTTCACTATAGTCAACCATCAAGGCTTCAGCCCGATAAAACCCGAAAGCTTTTTTTTTTAATATGAAGATAATTATTTCAGAAGAAAAAGAAAGAAACTAACTACCTACATGAAATGATCGTTGAAGCCCTATCAAGAAATAAAAAGATGTAATTACACAAACAATAATAATTTAGGGATAATTTTTTCATAAAACATGGTCATATTTAGTAGCTCTATATAAATTATATCAAACTAAAAATACAAGATATTGTGATTGTTTTAAACATTTAGCTTAGAATACTCACGATAACAAATATGGACCAATGAAAAAAAAATCATTTTTCAATTTAGGTGGTAAAGCTGTACCTTAGTGTCTTTGTTTTTTGTATTTACTTCATTTTAGACAGTATTTCTTTGTACCCTTAATATTGTAATTATTTAGGGCTCCCTCCTAAAAAAGAATGACTCTTTTGGGAATTTTATAGAAAATTTAAGGAAGATTATAAAATTTCCAATTAACCTGGTCAGCAAATCACCTATGACCAACTTATAGGCCAAAAACATAAATTTAATAATACATACAGAAAATAAGATTTTCTTTCCTTTTATATTATCTTTAAATAATAAAAATATTTATGTTGGATATTGGTTGTATAATTATTTCAGATGATGAGTCATGATCAATATTGTTCGAAAAGTTAACTAATTAAATTATGGAAATAGAATAAGGGTTTAATTTTAAATCAATAAATTAGTAGATTAGAATTTTTTTCACTAATGACAGTCTATATAGTATTTTTACAACTTTAGAGTAGCTTTCAGTGTCTGTGCACTATATTCATCTCATTTCCTATAACTATAAAACATCAAACAGAATAAATTAATAAAATAATAAACTAATTATATCACATAATGCCGTACCTTTTTAGGAGACGGAGAACAACAACACTGTTCTAATCTTTTATATTTTTTAAATAGAAAAAAATATAGCATGATGAGATAGTAATTGCATGACAATTAAAAATTATGTAACACATGAATTTTTATAGTATTAATTAATTTATTATGTTATTATTTTATCTTACTGAGCTTCCCATGCTAAAGGTCCCAGGTTCGAACCCCGGCTCATGGCTGAAAATTTATTTATCTGTTTCATTGGCCGTGAGGCAACCTTGTGTAGGAAGTCCCTCCTGGGGCACACCCAGCCTCTATTAAGTGGGTACCCATAATTAAATAATTAATTAAGGGGGAAAACCTGGCAGTTGAGCGTGATCTCGGTCAAATCTCCTCCTTGCACAGCCGTTGACCAAGAAAGAGTGCTTTCCCTAAATAGTACTGAACCCAAGACCCTTCATGGGTTGTAGTGGTACAGGTTTTTTTTTTTTTTATTTTATCTTATTTGATGTGTCATAATTATACAGATAAATCGTCTGCAAAAGAGGTATATAAATCGAGAATTAATGATATTCTTTTTAAAAATAATATTAACAATCTATTTTAATTTATTATTTATGTATTACAAGTTTTGAGAAATGAAAAAACGACATTCTTTGAAATAAAAGAATGACTAAAGGACGAATCATATTGCAATGATAGATTTTAAAAATTTTGCATGGTAGGTGGTTGATGTAAATTTATTCAAAATTAAAAATAAATTTTGGACTATTTGTATTACTGATGGTTGTTAAATAATAAGTGTGATAAGGATGTATTTGAATTGTAAAAACTAAATTAAAATTAGTTTTGCAGGATCTTGAAAATGGCTCCTGAATCCAAAACGTTATGCTGAATAAAGAACACAGGAAATAAAATAACTGTGTATATTACCTTTAGCCTAAAATATATATTAAAAAATTATGAGAAAATGGCACCAAACCTGAAGGGTGTGACTAGGAAATGAGATAAATATGGTGCACGGACTCCGAAAGCTACTTAGGAAATAAGGTTATAAAAATATTATAGAGACTGTCATTAGTAAAAAGATCCTGATCTACTATGGACATATAAAACAGTCTAAAATTATCTAGAAATAAATTATTTAAAAAGTGTTATAGAAAAGTTAATAAACCCTTAGAAAAAGTAAAATTAAATAGTTAATTTTGAAAGCAAAACACAATACCTAACCGGAAGATTAGTTTATAATCAATAACTATTGTTTCTTTGTTAACAGTAACCATTTATAGATATAGTCGATAAAATAACATTGATTCAAATTTCATAGCTTTAAATTAAAGATACAAATATTTTCAATCAATCATCGACTAACTACGAGACAATAGAGTTTCATAATTGAAATATAACACAATCCATTTGCTTTTTGACTTTTGAAGCATTTTAATTTAATAAGATATTTACTGTAATTATTTCATGTTTAATTATTCACCATTATGTTCCAGGGCCTTTGCTGTTTAATGTTACTTCTCAATTTGGCTCTAATTCTCATCACACTTGGATTTGTAATTGTCATTCAGTTTTTTGAACCGTTCTTTGTTTGGTAAGTTGTCAAATATTCTCTCTTTCACCTATACGTTACATATAGTGCATATTTATTGGTTAATTTAATGATTTCTTTTTTTTTTTAATCTCTCTACTTTACAAAACCTCTTTAAAAACAATTTTAAAAGTGATAATATGATCCCAATTTACATTTTGGCTGTAAATATCTTTAACTACTGCAAGCAGTGTAGTATTAAAGTTCCTCTCCTGCACTATATATAAAATTAGTACATCCTAATCCTAAGTTTACTAAATTCCAGTTAATGCCATAAAGAATAATTTTGCCCTGTTGTATAACTAAAACTTTTCATGAGACATAATTGCAGTGTTTATAAATCAATTTAAAAGTAAGCTAACCTAATTGAAAAATATATTAGAATGAAGAAATAATTATTTTACATTTGAAAAAATACAACTAATTTGAAATAACTTTTGTTTTACTTTACGTTCTTCTAAAAAAAAAAAAAATGATAAAATAAATAAATATAATTTTTAAACAATCATAAAACTCAAATAAACTATAGATCCCAAATGTTTAGTAAAGTATATTTGTAGTAAATTTATGATATTGTATAATTCTATATTAGATCATTTTACTTTTATACTATTTAATAATATAACATAAACAATATATAACTGTAGAATGGTGTAGGAAGGATTATAAAAAAACTTTCATATTATTTTTCAATTTTTTATCATCTTAACGGTTCAGATTTTTCTTTACATTTTCAAAAGTCGCCAACTTTTTTCTTTTATAATTTTCTTTTTTTATTACTGTGAATTTCAGATTCAATATCTTTAAATTTGTATATTATTCATTAAACTATTAAGTTTTATTAATAATTGGTAAATTTATCATATGATAGACATTAATTAATAAAATAAATGTATTATTATTTCTTACATTGTTGTTCATAATGTATCTTTTAGTTTAGATATAATTTGATGAAAAATTTAGGGAGTAATAATAATATATTTATTTTATTGTCTAATATATGTTTTAAACTCTTCTTTTTACATCTTCTAACAGAATATCTACGCATCTGATAAATTTACCAAAGTTAAATTAAACCTAATAATTTAATCTAATATAAAAGCAAAGATAATTAATCTAACATTCATAATAATTAAAAAGAAGAAAAGTTAGCTGAGAAATAATATAAAGGTCTTTAATAATACTTAAAGCACTATTTTGCATTGATAAAAGCTACTAGGACTTCATGTAGGGTAAAAATTAGAAATAATATTTAACCGTTAATTGTAAGCTTTACGGGTCTGATATTATAATGAAATCATTAAAACTATGCCTATTATTATAGATTATTGATAACAAATAATGGAGACCAGTTTTGTTGGACTTCTTTTATAAGGCATTAGATTGTTTAATTGTAAGAGAAATTAATAAATAACAAAAAGATTTCTGAGAAATTTCCACAGACCATCCCAACATCCGCCACATGTAGAATACTCATTTCCTTAGGTGGAAAGATATCCATGTGAGGATATAAGGCATAGCTCTGAATTTTATTTCCTTTATTAATAATATCAAAGAGATTATTTCTATGTTATCCTAAGTGTCCAAGAGAATAATATAACTATTCTCCTCTGTTTAGCTTTCTAATAAATGTTTTGTATGTCGAACACTAGCATGAATAGCAAAGTTTTAATTTTTAAAACCTAAACATGTTATAAATATCCCACTGTAACCAATTTGTGATACCTCCTAAAAGCGGTGCTTGAAACAGAAAAAAAACTTTTATTTTTAAAAAGTTTCGATACCACTGGAATTTATATTGTCTATAGTTTCCAATTGTTTTGGGAATTTGAATTTTTTCCCTTGCAACTTTTTAAGTAAAGATTTTACAGAACTTTTATTTTTAAAAAACTTTTATTCAAAACTTCTTTCAATTTCGCTAAAATGTTGATCTAAAAACTTACTTTTATTCATATCTACTCAAACAAAAGACAAATTAGAATTTTCATTTAACACAACTTTTCTAAAGAACGAGAATAAATACAAGTTTATTTACTTTTTACCATAAGCCTAGAACTTTATTGTGAAAATGTTTCTTAGAATTTTTATTTTATGAACTTTTTTCCTAAAAATTTTCACAAACACTGTTAAAAAATATCTTTTTGAAAAAAATCCATAAAAGTTTCTATCCCTGCCTGAAAGGCTTTTGACAGAAATTATGATCTATCTCAAAAACAGTACATTTTTTTTTTACTTTAAAACGCTGGGTCTTGATGTCTTTGTCGAAATGTTATAAAACACAATTTATTCTGTCTCCAACTATCAACTTTTAAACCAACTGATTTTTTAATCCCTCTAATTTTTTTCAACAATTTTTATTGTAGCTGTAATCAAGTTTTAAGTTATGAAATTGGTATCCATTAACTCTCCACAAAACTCCCTTTCATTTGATACCTCATTCATCAAAATCTGTTGCTCATAAGAGTAAGAAAGGGATCTATATTATCATTTTATGTGTAGTGTAGATAATTATTATATTATAAAAAGAAAAAATAAGTATAATTTTTACTTTCACCTAATAGAAATATAATTGTTTGTTTCCTTGTGTAAAATTTGTTCATATAGACCTACATGGTTTTGGAGATAACTAAATATTATAAGAAATAAAAATGTTATCATGGAAAAGATACTCTAATGTCAATTTGTTTTGTTTTCAGGATCTTAGGCATAGTGTTCCTGATCTTTGGCTTTCTGACTCTTATTGGATCACTTATCTATTGCGTCACTGTCTGCAAAGATGTAAAATCCCCATCAGAAGTAGCAAGAGGAGAGCACTACTGGACACACCACTGGCGCGGCACGATGGGCACTGTTCCACCTCATGAGATCCATTATCGCCACGATGATAAGTATGCAACAGATACAGATGCATATAGTGTTTCGGAGAAGCACGTCCGACCGAATTCAAGGTATTAAGAAGATACAAAGAGAACTTCAGAGACGTGCTAATACTAACATATTCTAGAAACTCGGTGGTGTAGTATTTCTAAACTGCCTAGCAACTGTATGTATTGAGTGGTTTGGTGATGAATTTAAAGTTACCACTCACTGATGTAACTAAAAATCTTACGAAGTAAGATGTTTTTAAGCTAATGTTTGTATGAGTGTAGTCAAGTCAGAGCAAATCGCACCATAATAACATATAATCGTAATGTCGAAGCCTGCGTAATTTTTAATGTTTTATATTAAAAATTCCTAACATAACTATTTCAATTTATCCTAACACTATCAACAGAATTTTTCTGCATGGTTTAACAAGTATTTTATGTAATATGCAGAAGATTCGTGGTAGAAAAAAGGAGGCAATGGTATTTCAAAAAAATTGAATACAATTATGATATTTTTCTGTATTTTTGAAAAAAAAAAAACGATGATTTTATAATGATAATAAACAACTATCAATGCAATAAACTATTGATCATGCAAGTTCTGATAACCAATAAACCAAATTACAGTACAATATTGATAGTCTGACATACGTAAAACTGACTTGTTCAATAATAAGGCAAGCTTGTGATGTTTACGGAATAATAATTATTTCAACTATTTATTGTGTGGGGAACCTAACTGTGTGATTTGTATTTCTGTCACATGTTCTTCATTTCTGGATACAAAGTTGTAGTGTTCATTAATTGTGATTATAAACATTAATTAATTAATAAAATTAATAGCATTAATTAATCAAGATCACCCAGAACATGCTACTCCTATATTCCTGAAAATACCTAAATATGTCTAATAAAAGAAACTTTTTAATTTTAATTACATATTTTAACTTTTTGAGTTAGTCAAACAAATGATATCAACTTAATTAAATTTCTAATACATATGTGTGAATTAGAAACTTAATGACCTAACCTAAATTAAACAAGTATAAAGATAAGGCATCTCTGTGGTGTGTAAAAAGGATTGTCAATACTCGACTACTTTTGACATTCATCGGGAATCTGGGAGTGATCTGGGTGATCTTGAAACCGACCAGAACTTTTTATTATCAAAATGGAATTAATACCAAATAATTCCTTGATACAGAAGTACTAATAAAACAAATTTAGCTATGTATTATTTCAAGTTTAATTTTTTAATTTGCATTATTCAAATGGAACATTCCATAGTCTGGAATATTTTTTTTTTTTTTTATATATAAAAAATAAACTTGTAATTAAATATATTGTAACAACTTGTCAGTCGTATTTTCAAAATTGGACTTTACTTCTAATTTATAAACATTTTTAAAGAGGAATGTTACCTACATTTGTCTCCTTCTGACATTTGGGGCTTGGTTTTTGATTTAGTCATTAATAAATCAATAGTATCAAAGAAAAAAAAAAAAGTTCACTCAAAGTATTAACGTTAACGTTTATTTGGTTATGAGAAAGACTTGTAAAAATTGGTTAAATTTTACTATTAAATTAAATTATAAATTTGACCATTATATAAAAATGGAAAAATTTCAAATGGTCCAACTTCAGAAAATCGGATAATTTTAATTATATAAACTAAATATATGATCTTTATTATCTGGATTATAATAATCAAAGCAAACAATATTTTTACTTTGAGAAAATAATATGTAAACAGATGAAAATATATTGCATTTGTTCTTAATGTAAATTTAAATTAATCATCAACCCAAAACTAATTTAGCATAAATATTTCTTTTGTGTTTTTACATATGAGTTAAGAGTTATTTAATTTCATTTTTATATCCAACTCCTAGACCATTAACCAATGAGTTCAGTAGTTAAATAAGAAAACTTCAGTAGATTTTACTTTCTTATAAATATAAACTTTAACCTATAAATTTGCCCACAAAGAATTTTTTAACTTAAAGTATGATAAAAAATAAAAGTACTTTTTTTGTATGATGCAACCCAGGTATACCCTCTAATTAATATTAGATATGACCGGTGGAGATTTACTATGTCCATGATTTTAAATAATACAAGAAACCTAAGAGAATTGTCTTTGTCACAATTTAGAAAACTCAAACAAATCATAATATATGCCCCATAATTTATATATGAACAACTTACAAATAATATCTTGAGAAATTCTGATCATTAGAAACATTGTATAAAAGTATACCAATTAATACAGAAAAGAGTTAAATAATTGCATAAAACTAAATATTTAGAAGTGATGATAGCTGATTTTTTTCTTATTTAAATTTTATCTTTTAATAGAGTGGTCAATATTAAGAGATTCTGAATTTGGTAACTTTCCTCTATAATTAATTAAAAAATATATTTGGTTATTATTCTTTTAACATTTATTAAATAAAATTAAAAAAAAAAAAAGCAGTCTGTTTTATAATGTTATTCAACCTTAAGGTTAATCATCATTATAAAAATACATGTCTTTATTTCTTTCCAAAAGAAGGGATGTTTTGTTAAATGAAGTATTGTACTATGTTGTGTTGTTACGAACTAAACAAATTAGTCTTCCTAACTTATAACAAAGTTATTTATAAATGCAAACAATTAACAATAATTTATATTTATAATTAATTAAGGTGATGTAAAATTGTAATCATGATCATTTTGAAGCAATTGAAATGTAATTCTGTAAATATTGTTTCTTGTGTGATGAAATTGTTCTCCGAATTCTCACTAATTTTTGTTAAATCTTTTGTACTAAATTTATGGTCAAAAATCATGTATATAAAACAATAACAGAAAATGGTGGAAATGCACACACATTTTTTTAAATATTTAATGTCATAAGTTGTAAATAAGTTTTGTAAAGAAAACTGTTAAAGCTATATAATGTAAATAACACATTTATATTCTTTAATGAAACACATCCTATTCTTTAAATTAAAATAATATTTTAAAGTAGTATAAGGAATATTTTATTTAAACCCACATATCCCTCTGTTTTGAAACTAACACTTATCAATTTTACACCTCAATTGTGATAAAAAAGATCCAACTAACCATTATTCCCTATTTAAATTAAAATTGAATGTTTTTTTTTTTAAATTCTTTTTATCTCTTCCAAAAATAATCTTTCATAAAATCTGATGTAGGTGTATTAGGCCTTCCTGTATACCGAAGTAGAGGAATAAGACCTTAATGTTGAAATTGATCAGAATGGGTGTTCATTATTGGTTGTAGAAAATAAACCAAAATAAATTTAACAAAAAAAATTAAAAAAACGGTTTAATAAAAGTAAAAATAAAATAAAATAAATAAATATCTTATAGTTGGTAATGGGGATGCCAAATTTTGAACTTTAACAAGATAGGGATCGACCTGGAAAACTTAGAAAAACAGGAAAAGTTAGAGGAAAATTGTTAGTTAGGAAATTTTTTTAGTACGTAAATACTTTTTTCAGCTAAGAAATAAATATATAGTGGATATTGTTTATATGACCTTGAAGGAGTAAACGTCATCGTTATAAACAACAGTCTCTATATTAATCCATCTTTGTCAATAGTGGCACTGGTCATTCTATTGAAATCAAAGAAGGATTATGAATAAAATTTAAGCAAAATGGACTTAAAAAATACTTCATATAAAACATTAGATTTGTTAATTTAAAAGACTATTTTTTTGTTATTTTTTATTCAAATCATTTTGTAGTCAATTTTCTTTCATGTATAATAGATAGATTTAGTTATAAATTATACATTTTTAATATTTTTGTTCCCTGACATAGCGGTCAGAGAAAACTATCATTAAATAGGGAAATGTCAGAGAATCTTACTTTAACTATCTGGCAGCCACTCCGTTTAAGCTTAGTGGGATAGTATTAATTCAATTGTGGTACTTATTAGATAGATGAGGATGGTATAGGTACTGTTTGTGTAGATGCATGAGTCTTTAAGTTTCTTATCGAAGGACTGCTGCTGGAGTATATCTTGATACAGTAAAATGTATTAAGATATACTAATATTGTGCCTAATATTAAACAACCAACCAACCAGGCAACAAAAGAAGGAAAAAAATCAAAAGATGTAGATGAAACAAAGATAATAAAATACAAAATTAATAAAATGACAAACCATAGAGAATCCCTGATATATTCTTCAATTTTCCAATAGATAGACATCTTTGGTTAGCATTACATTATTTTTCAACATCTATTTAGTTTAGATGTTTTATAAACAGAAAAGATTTATATTAGGGAAAGGCTAAAATTAGAAACTCAAGAAATAAATTAGTTTAAATTACATTAAGTTTGATCAGTCTTTTCATTCTATTCCTATTCATCTGGTCTTAGCTTCGAGTCTGATTGTGGCAGGTAATAATTTATTCTGAGAATTCAGCTATGGATTCCTTGGACTAGTCTTAATTGTGGAAATCAAAATAATGTATAACCTCGAAGAACAGCTTTGAGTTGTGAAATAATTATAATTGATTACTATAAGTTAAAACACCAAAGGAGAATTTATCATGCGTTTCATGATTTTGTTAAAATTATCAGACATATTTACTAAATATTCTTAAGATATTGTTTCTTAGTCTTTAAATAAAACAGTATATATTCAAATCTTTATTTTTTTAATCATCTAGTTATCCAATAGCTACCCAAGTTTGAGTAAGTTGTTACTATATGTTTTTCTGTATAATAAATTCCATATAAAAACATTCATTAAAGGTATACCCAGAAGTCTTACTGATTTAGAGAGAAAAACATATGTACAAATTATAAGCTAGCATACATTTTGTTACAAGGTCATTTTCTAAATAATATTTGAGGTTGATTAAAAATCGGAACTTTTAGCCCCACTCTTATTATAAACAGCACTTTGTAGCTCAAACCTCAGACCCTTTATGGATTGCAGTGGTTCATAGTCATTTGGTTTCATCGGCGGATTCATTGGGTGGTCACCTCCAAAAGGTAATTTTTTTCATGATGGAGAAATGGTTGACTATAGATTCTGGTAATAATAGAATTTGGTTGGTGGTTGCAGTCATTGAAGTAAACACAAATTTATTTATTTTCTTTGTGCCGACATTTTGGCCTAAGTTTTAGGCTTTCATTGAAGCAAAACAAAGACAAGATAACAATTTTATGATAATAGGAAAAGAAAAGAACAGTTATAAAAAACAAAAAGAGACAAATTATATGAAAAATAGTTTTATAGGAAAAATAAAAACAATGAAGTAAAAAAATATGAATAGACATGTGATAATACATGAAAATATTCAATAAATTAGATTTTAATATGTAAATAAGGAGAAAATAACTAACTGCTATATGTAATTAGTTAAAGGTAACATTACTAAATAATAAATGTTTAATATATGATACCAAAAGTATTTAAATAACCAATATTTTGCAAATTTACTATCAAATTAAGGGTAGTATAAATCATATTTTTCTTACAATAAAGTTTATATAAATTTAAAACAATAAATACTAAAAGTATCTATTCAAAAGTATTCGGACACTAATAAATATTGGACCTTTCTTGCCTTCAGAAAAAGGATTATGATTTCTCTGCTGCGATTAAGGCTAAAGTGCATACCCATGTTTATTAATCTAATTCTAAAACATATTATAATAAACATAATATCTGGTATCATCTACACTTGAAAGTTCAAAAACATGAAATTTCTGATAAGAATCAAATTACAAGAAATGTTGCTTAATCAGTGGGAACAAATCGATCAAAATTTATTTTTAATGTAGTTCACTGAATGCCTTGAAGACTACAAGCAGTAATAAATGCTAAAGCACTCAATACTAAATATTAAATGTATATGTACATGTGCAAATCATTTTGAAAGATGATTTTATTTATCCTCAACCAGTGGTTTATTTTAATCATTATATTTTTACATATTTTATTATTTAAATAAATTTATTTATTAGATAGTAAAATTTCCTCCTTGTAAAAAAATATTTTTAATAAAACTTTGACACCAAATAGTATGCTTGTGCAAATACTTTTGTAGTCACTGTATAAACTTAAACTTTCTAAGTTTATATATAATTAATTATGTCAAATATTATATATCACTTTAACTTTTTAAGTCCATATAGTGGCCGCGGTAGTTGAGTGAATTAAGGCGCCTGCAAAAATTTTATATTATATGTTCAAATCTCATTTGTGGGAATTAATAATAAATTAAAATTAATAAGTACAGGTCCTACTTGACTACTTAGACCACTAGGGCGTGGGTTCGATTCCCGCATGGAGAAAGTAACATCCCCACCCTGAGATTCATAGGTAGGTGAACAATCCCTGTTTCTGAAACCCTAGCTCCTGGTCCTCCATGTTGGGGTTTGGGTATAGGGCTAATACTCCCCTACCTCATAAAAAACTGGGTGGAAGATTGAAGCAAAAGATAGCCAACAATCCTATGAACAGTTAAGTTCCTGAAGGAGAGGGAGTGAAATGTGATCGTGTCCGGTTAGTAAATCACGTGCTCTCTGGATATTTTTCGAAGAAGAGAGAACAAAATGATCACTACTGTCTGACCCGAGCTGCTGAAGAAGATGACTTAAAACAGTCATTAAGATGTCAAAGTCAACAGGGAAAGGAAAAAAAAAAAAAAAAAGAAAGAAACCTCTTACATATACTAGTCTAATTACTTTTACACTATTTAATACTACCACATGTGTATTCACTTCTTTGTATTTATTTGTTAATTTTATATGAAATTTGTATCTTTTTATTTTTTATAAGTTTTATTTCTGTTTAGTACCATTAATGTTGAAAGCCTAAAACGTAGGCCGAAATGTTGTCACAAACAAAATAAATAATTTTTTGTGAACTTCATTGACCCCAAACCAACTTCAGTTACGAATTTTTGGAATAATTTCATATTGTACTATCCATATTTTCATCCTGAATAAGACAACATTTGTTTTATTGTATGAAAAAAATATTCTATATTTTGAATATCAATCCCCCTAATTGGAAAAACAAAAGAAACCTGTGTAATCCCAGTGGTGTCCATCTCCCCGAAGGACATCTATATGAACCTCCCCTCCCCTTTGATATTTAATATAAGCATAATTTTTAAAAGGTTTTCTTATTGTTAATACTTAAAAGAAATATAATAAAATTCATTATATCTTTTTTTTTTTGCCCCCCCTAATACAATTCTCTGTTAGGTTTAATACAAAAATAAATTTGTCTTCATATAAAACAAATCTTAAAGCATATGCACTCACATTCGCAACCTGGCAGAGCCTAATAATTTCCTCAAGGAAGTCAAATACTCCAAATCTTTTAGATATATAAAATTAATAACACATTGAAAGGAAATTCGACTAAAATAAATCTTTTTTTTTTAACATAAAGCTGCCATTATTATGGCTAATATTGCAGTCATCAACTCCACAGTCACTTTGATCTAGTAAAGAGTGGATTCCAAAACTAAGTGCTGAGATCATTTACTGAGCACCTGAAATCCATCAGGTCATTCCTAAATTCATTGATATAACAATAGAAATGTTTTAAACTCAGAACTAGATCATTGATGAGTATCGGAAATCCATCAATGTATTAAAGCTGATTAGGAACTTGGCTGTACTGTTTTACATTTACTATCCATTGTAGGAGCAAGTTCCTAAACTCAGTACAGAACTTATAAATGGAATAGGATCGACCTCTAAACTGGGCAAAATAATACCATCAATGAGCTCTACGCTGAGTTTAGGAGCTTGCACTAGGGTAATTATTTAGATGAGACTGCACCCCATGGGTTACGCAAGGTTCACAATCACTTTGGTCACACTTGTTTATAAAACCAAAGTGATTGTGAACCACACGTCACCCCTGCAGTCCTCATCTAATTCACAATCACTTCGATCACACTTGTTCATGGAGTGCGGAATGCATCGGGGTTTATCGTCAAGACTATTTTCGACGTTTCATGAATAAGTGTGATCGAAGTG